AAGACAGGCGCGTCGAGCTCACAACAGGAGAGATGATCTGTCAAACGCATTCGTCGCGCCCATTGTAGTTGTGATCAGTCTTCGACTTCGAGGAGCATCGCCATTAAGCAAAGCACGAGTGCGTGCGTGAGAGCATGCATGCCCACCCGCCACTCCATGGTCGGTCCTGATTCTTATTCCGAGTGTGAGCAGCGGCGGTAGCAGCAGCAGAGGCAGCGATCGCAGCTCGAGACCAGGACAGTGGGTTCTCCATGGTAATCCTTCAGAGCGGGGGGAAGGAGCCAATGGCTGATTCTGACACGGTGAGAAAATGAACTGAAATTTAGTGGTTTACGAGTGTGGCAGCAGATGGCAACAAGATGTGACCGCGACTCTGGATCACGGCGAGTACACACTACTAGCCATATATATTGAAAGCTAAGACGGAACTGATATGACCCGCTGGCAAAACTGTCAGCCACCCAACCGATGTGGCAGGCCGCCGATTTGTTCCACCGGTGCTATTCGTGACCGAGCGCCGGAAAATGGAGGAATGGTAACAGAGGGTGATCTGAGTGTCTCCACAGACGATCTCCACATGAGAACGTCCGCCTTCCCCCCCGGCAGCCCTCCCTTATGTTCTTCCTGTGATGTTCATCCGGATCAAACCGTCATCAGAGCTCCGAGTGGGACGGAAGGAGAGGCTTGATATGCTCTCGTCCCCTCTCCCGTTAGATAACCGTCAATGCTCGGATCTCCCATCGTGGAATTTTATTTTCCATCTCTCATTCCGAATACTATGAAACGATCGGTGCTTCGGTCTGGTCTTGTTTCATTAGGATAACGGAGGGAATTTTAATGATAGAATGAGTGCTAGCGTGAAACCCGGCGATTTCAAGCTTCCGTTCGAGTCCGTCTAGTCTATCCGATGGCTCCTTCGCCTGCCTGCGAGAGATGAGCGAGGCGCATTTTCTTTATCTTTGTCTTTTCCCAGATACCAGCAGCTATACTATAACTAATCGGCTTTGCTTATCTCAGCTTCACAGTCGAGTGCAGCGAAACCTATGGCGCGGTTTGGGGACACAGAATGCGATAGATTCATAGAGAGAGGGCGAGAACAATAGGCGGTACGATGCGAGCAGCGACGAGCGGCCTTAGGTGCATTGCGAACGACACTCAGGCCTATCTTGGTGAGCTTGACAGAATCATCTCCCTGTGGATCCTCCGGGAATCGTCATCTCGTCGACCATTGGACAACCCCGGTCCTTCCCCGGAAGTGGATAGAGCTTCCCTCATTGTCGACTTCATCGATTTCAATGGTACTCTTCGAGCGGCAGACGCCAGAGGAGCTGCTCAATATTTTAAGGAACAGATCCGAGCGCCGAGCGGCCCAAAAATACGTCGACCCGCGTTCGGCCACCATGAGAGTTCTGACCTCCTTGAGAAGGTAAACGCCATGGATTATTGTCCGGAGACGACTCGATCAGAGGTGACACCCTCACAGTCCGCAGTGAGAACGCTCTTCGAATGATACAAGTGAGCGCTATAATTTGATGCCGCACCCAAAGGCTACGATGGCGGATGGCAACTCCAAGTTTCATGACCCCCGGATGCTTGGTCCGATCGACGGTTGTCTCCGACTGCTTTTCGGTTTCGTCGAGCGAGGGTTCCGGTCTCGGATAGCGTCGGTCGTCTTCTCCTTCTCGGGCTTCTCCGTTTTAGACTTCTGGCTGCGGCGTAATTCGAGGGTAAGTAAATAAGGGGTTGCGTCCGCCTGCGGTACGACGATCTGAGCACTGACCGCTGAAGAATCAACTGCGAGATTCTCAATGCCTTCTACCTCTTCCCTGGCTAAGTCACAGCCCAACCCTGTTTTCGGAGCATCCGATCAACGATTCTGTGGCTGGACCACGAAGATTCGAAATTGAATTCCCTCAGCTCGATATCGTAATTCCAGCGCAGGTGAAATGATATAATAACAAGCTTCAAAAACTTACGGCGATCCGAATGACGTAGCTCGACGGAATGGTTGTGTCTAGTTGTATTGTTCAACATAGGTGGGAAATTCGGGAAAGCGTTCTTCAATATTCTGGTGAAACCCAATAGGCAGTCATCTTCTGTGTTTTTCGGAAGTATGCCAGGGCGGTACGCGATACCGAGCGGACTTGTCCGAGATTTTGAAGCCAACGCTTCACATACTGTCGATTCGAGAGCGCTCATTTGCAACCCGGTGAGTTCGAACTGAGCTCATCATCTGTTTATGATTTCGGAAAAATCCTCCGAGGCTATAGTATGATGCTTTGAAGAAAGCGCGAGGAATCTCTCACATACGGTAATAATTCGGAAGCTCTGACGGGGCCGAGTGCAGCTGGTTGGATTTTTACGGCAGCTGAGATCTGTATTGGAAGAAGAAACAATTCTGAAACCTTCGACTCGAACTTGCTTCGAGAGTCCCATCATGGGAGTTAACCTCTGCTCGATCCGTTTGTGAAACACTGTCGGATGGTATCAAATGTCAGAACTATAATCAAGTCCGCGTGACGGACGCTGAATCCAGACGCAGGCTCAAAAATGACTGTTTTCTCTTTCCGTCTTCAACGGAACAGAAGCTACCGGGTGATGAGTGACTGAGTGAATGAGCGGGTGACACAACGCCAACGGCAACGCCGGCCGCCATCGTTTCAGAAAAGCATTGTCATCACTAGCCATCAACACAAGCCGCTCGGTCGCCTGGTTCGCTAGCTGACTGACTTAGCTGGCAACTCGTCAAATACGCCCCCGTCACCCGATCACCCAAAGCTGCAGAAGCGACAGCTGCTCAAAAGGCGACTGAATAATTTTTTGTCCTCTGTCCTCCTCTATTTTCTGCTGACACTTCCGTCACCTCTGTTCCGTTGCATAAAAAATGAGCATGGGAAAAAACGCCTAATGTCACAATCGATACGGATCCCGCCGATCGAGCTTATTTGATTTGGGTACTCGAACGTATCCATCCGTACTAGAACGCGCCCGGTGATGGTCGACAGAGCTTATCGGGAAGAAGGCTCTCCACCGAGGGATAGACTGAGGAGGACTGAAGATGAAATAACAACCGTAAATAACCCAAATAACAACGGCGCCCCGAGCTCTATTGAAGTCGTCTATAACCGCCTCATTCCGGAAGTCGTCGAACTCAGTCAGCACTCGGCATTGAGAACGCGAAAATTGAATGAGACGAATTTTCCTCAGAAATTCCGACCCTCGCTGGCTAGGAGGCGAATGATCAGGTCTCTACGACGACTTATAATTTCCACACCCATATCCCTCGGACCCCTGAAGTGTCGCACAGACCTCACGCCAGGGAGGAGTTCCGTAAAAGTGAATGTGAAAGTCTTTCATGAGATGAGCGTTTTCAACACGAGAGTTCCCCAATAATGAATCGGGAACTCCGTTCGAGATGTCTTCCTCGAAGCTTTCCGCGACGCGACGGTCGAAAAAGTCAGCGATCCGCGTCGATCTGAGCCCAGAGTGGCGCGTAAAGGTTATTTCCTTTCTCAATTTGTTATCCGCAATTTAAGCAACTCGGAGAGAAGACAGCATCAGACGCGAGATACGCGCACTAATCTGGCAAGGTGGTCCTCTCGTTGAAGTGATTCGTATCTCTTCCCGTCCGAAATGATCGCTCAAGCGGCTGCTTGACGGACCGACTGCGAGGGAGTGCCCTCACGATTTTTTTGAGAATATAGAAAGAACATCCCAAATCCAAATTGATCGTGTGGAGGAGTAGTCGACTTTGCTCCGGCTCTCCTGCTTGATGATATTTGGTTGTATCTCCGATTGCATGCTTCATCAAAACCCGTTTCCGCTCAAGATCTCCCGGGCAGTCCGGCTGCTTAGCTTTGAGGGTTCCCCGAGGGAGCGAGATTGAATCTAAGAATACTTGCCTCTCAAAGCGTATTTCGATTTCATATTTCCTCCAAGTGCTCATCCATTAATCCTTTGATACATATGTTTCTCGATCATCTAATATTCGGATAGATCGAACCCCGGTTTGTAGTCTTCGAAGTATGTCGGAAGTTCATTTCCGCTTCCTTCTTTCTCGCTCAGGAATCTCGTTCTTCTGATTTCATTCCCCCTAGCCGTCATGGTTGGCATGATCACTCTTGCTTTTAAGGTGGGCCATCCGGATTCAGCAGAGAGCGTATGCAACAAAGCGGCATGCGCCGCTGTTCATCTTGCCTTGTGGCCACTAATCAGGTGCGTGGGCTCTAACTTGGATGTCGGATATCGAAATCATGTTCACATGGTAGATTCCACAGAAACATGGACTCAGACGGTATGGGAGGTGTCTTGGACTCTATAGCCTGCCAAGAATAGCTATTTCTTATTTCAGAGGGAAGCGGCATACGCCGCACTGTTGGCAGCACCGGCCTACGACGATCGCCGTTCCGTGCCGCGCATGCTTCGACAGAATCATGCGGTTGATCTTGGGGTTTTCTGTGCTTTCAATGCGGGCCCGAGATGACGAGCTCTCTCGAACAGGCGAGGACTTCAATTTTCCTAACCGAGGATCAACGGGAGAACTTGCCCATTCGACAGATCCCTTCCGAATATCCGCAAATCGCAACAACGGAGCTTGAATGGGAACTTCCTGTGGAGCCCGGAGTTCTCGTGGAGCCAGGATCGATCAAAGCGATCGAAGGGCTCTTTCCAATGCACGCAATCGAGACCACATTTCATTTCGGGATATCGATATGACGGAAAATTAAATGCGTAGAAGGCTTACTTAGCGATCCAGGTTGGGCAAACCGCGGGATTATCTGTCTCTACCGTAGAGAAATTCGGCGGTTCGTGCGCCGCGCATCTTCCCTGCCGATCGCAGCGCCGAAGTTTCCCGAGTTGGCCGCAGAATCCCACCGCGCGAATCTGAGCTCAGAGCCGATCTGTCCGTGGTGGGGAGTGTTTCGCTCGGCGACGAGAAGCCATCTTCACGTGCGGGCCATGGTCAAAAGCCGATAAGACAGCTATGAGAACAGTGCATCATGTGGACGGTCGACAAAGACAGAAAGGATCTCTTGTGGACCGTGGCTGTTTCGGCCGGTGTTACGATTCTGTGTTTTTGCTTCGGGGGATTCAGTGCGTCAGGTGTGACCTGGAGTGCGGCGATCGATGGAGATCTGGTGCACGATGACGTTGTGGCCATCATAAGGAATCCCGATGTTGTGGGCAGTGGAACAGGCTGGTTGACATCGATATGGACAAATGATTTTTGGGGAACTCCTATGTCGAGTCCGGAATCGCACAAAAGCTATCGTCCTCTCACAGTTCTGACATTCAGGTGAGTAATACTATGTGAGATCGCCGTTGCAGTTTCTCCGGAATGATGTCATACCGCTCGACAACTCCAAACAGAATCGCGTGCAATGCCTGGAACGATCAGATATCCTAAGAGTTTCCCGAGCAGCGCATTGCGATTTCCGAATCGAGAGCACTCCCCCGCCTTTCTTCCGAGGTGCGACACGACAGGAATAGATGGACGAGGATCATTTGACTTTCCCTCTTGTTGCTTAGACCTTGAGTGGTAGAGACAGCCTGACATTTGTGTACCCTGAGAGAGACTTGCAGTGTCCCTCGCAACATCGATCCCGGAGGTCGGTGGTGCACGAAACGGGCTCTACCTACTTACTCTACTTGATTCCTTTTCTCTACGAATTCTCAAGCTGGGCCAGGCCATACAGGCAAGCAAACCGAAATCGGGCGGTGGAGTACGAGCCGGTATATTCGAATCCCATGTGGAGAGCTCAATCGTGGTCGGAAGTATGTGGTTCTACGATAACCAATAGACCGCAGGAGATCTGAAACACTCAGAGTCGTCGCTGTTGGTAGAGCGCCGGAGCGATCGTTGACAGCCAGAGCCTCCGAGGCTGCTATTGTCGACAACCTTGTTAACGTGTTTGGAATAGAGAACGCTTTTTGTTTTAAACAAGAGCTTGAAGAGGATTCGTTAGGGGACAGTTGGTCGCACTCAGACAGATCCTACCTAGAGGAAAGTGAGCCGTGGAAGAAACAGAAGAAATACGAGACGCTTTCTCGGAATTCGTCGAGGGGCCTCGTAGAGAGCCGCTCGGGAAGAGAAATGGAGTGCGCCAGGGGGGAATTTCGTTTCTCGCGGGCTGTCTATTGGATAGATGAAGATGCAGACGACATAAGGTCCGACGAGAAGGAAGGAGCGTCTGGAGGGAAGCCTCGACAGCAGGGGAAGAACTTGTCAGGAGCGGATAATCGCTGAGTCCTCGAGTTTGTTGAGTGGCGCCGGATGCATCGATTCCAAAAGTCATCTCTTCCAAGTCATTTCATCTCTTCAATCACTGAAAGGACGGCGCGCGGCGCTCTTTTCGATATTTCCATGTTATGATGGTATTCATCGATAAAATAATTTAACAGATAGATGGACGGGTCTTCATTGCGCGGGTTTCCAGGGGAGAGCTGAACCTGCTTCTGGAGAGATAGCTGGGAGAAGAGCTCCGACAAGGACTCGGATAAAATTGAGGATAACTCCTACACGAGATACTCTCAAGCTGAGCATCCAGAGGCATTTTTTTGCATGAATCGGCTGCTTCAGAGTCCTGTCGGTGCCAGATTCACTTTTTCTCCCGGCAGCTGATTCCTGTCCCGCTCTTGTTCCGGAGTTTGGAACGTGATTGTCAGGGTACTGATCGTCAGTCGTCGATTTGGAATTCACGATCTCCGAAATAGAAGAAGATGGCCGATTACACGATTTTGATTAGGCCCTCCGATGAAGACCTCTGTAGAAGTTCTGAGCTCATCGTTCCTAATGCGATTGCTCCCGAGACAATAATCCCTTTATTGTTCTCTGAGCAATTTCCGTGAGGACGCCCTGTCCGAACTTTGCGGAGCTCCTTTGTTTTTTCGCTTCAACTTTGCTGCTGCTGCTTCTTCCCCGGTGTCCTTTCGCAAATTGGCAAGCGATGGGAGGCTCGACCGGGGAAACCGCGAAATATTGGAGGCATCCGCTCCCTTTCGCACTTAGCGGAAGGAATCGGAGTCCGATTTTCCACTGCATCCGACCTAGCAATCTTCGGGAAAGTAGCGAACTGGAAAAAACTGTGCGAGCAAACTCTGCGCTGGGAGAACTTCCCACATTCAAAACTAAGGTCCTATTGGAAAGTGCCCTCAGAGCCTCGTCGACATGTTGCCTCGACGCTAGAGATGTTATCGTTCAGCGGGAATACTTTGGAGTGTTGGCAAGACTCTAGAAACACCCGTCGCGTTGTCGCAAACCTCTGGAAGACGCTCGATTCGGGACTCCGTGGCCGCCTGTCTATCCTTATCTGAGTCTGACCTCCGACAGGGGAGTAGACCAGTTGGAGGCATTTATTACGATCATAGCTCTGCATCGTAGAGTATTCCGTGCAGTAGCCGGAATAATCGGCCGCGTCCCCGGCCAATCACGAGGATAGATAATTGTGGAATGATCGCATAACGTAGTTACCGTTCAACGGAGGGCGACGAGGCTCAAATGGGCCGTGCGATATAAATTACCCTGTGCCACCCTCCGAATATAAACGTTCCGCCAATCCCGGGGCTTTTTTTACCCCAAGAAATAGCTTCGCTTCTGTATTCAAGTCTTCGACGTACATTTGATTGCCTTCTGTCGGGGATTCACGAAGTCGATCGCCGCCTCAAGCGTTGTTCCGAATGACGAGATCCACCCGAGATCGTCGAGTTGGCTGACAAGTTCGTTCCAGGCCTCACTTCGGCTGACCTTATGAATGACCAATCAGAGCGAAATTGAGAGAAACTCGAAGACGCCTTCGAGTGACCCTACGATTAGGAGAGAAAGCGGCTGAATGAAAATCTACGCGCCTATCATTCGGCTCGCTCGCGTAGCTATTCTCGCTTGATACTTTTTTTCCTGTCATTCTGCCTGAGCTTCTCAGGGACAGCTGGTGGCTATGTCGAACCGAACGGAGCAGCAACGACTTTTTCCGTGGATTATTAATTAGATATCGTTTCGTATGTCACTGGATAAAGCACAGACCTTCCGTTGAATTGAATGATTCCTCGTCCAGATGCGCGACAAAAGCGTTGCATGAATTATTACGCGAGTGTTGTTTATGAGCATCGGCGAGCTCTGGCGGGGACACTCAGTAGGTGTCAGAAGAAGGTGACACTTCTGTCGACGTCATGAAACGGCTCTTATTCAAGCTCCGAGCCATCAATCCGTATGTTTAACGACATCGAGATTCCATCGGATGAGAGATCCCTCCATATTCATGGCGGGTGCATTCTGATTGGCCGGCTGAGGTCTTTTGTCCAATCGCGGCATAAACCCCTGGAATATCATGAATCATGAGCTCGTTGTGAAAGTTGCCCATAATCATCTCGTCGCTCCATGGAGACGCATGAACATAATAAATTCTATCCGGTCCTCAACCCGTTCATAATCCCCTCGAGCATTGTGTAACGTCCGTCAAGCGTTTCGACTCTCTAGTGTCGCTTGTCATCTGGGTGCGATCTACGCGATGCCGAAACGGTCCTTTCGATCAAAATTGCTGAAGAGCCATTGGTGGGTGGCGGACTATCTTCGACGAGATACTCCCGGTACCAGGTCGAGTTTCTAGCGCGCCGGACCGCTCGGGTGAGCAACGAAGGTGAAACAAAGTCGCTTATGACAAAATACTCGAAAGCGGCAAAATGAAGCGCGCAGCTGCAACATCGGCTTCTGTTTCAATCAAGTAGCGGCGGGAGCCCTGTTCGCTCGCTTGTTGGAGAAAATAGCGTCCCCATCGAAGCGACGGACGCATGAACGGACGTAGTCTTCCATAGTAATGACCTGTATGTGCGATGTATGATATCGGCTATAATGAGCAGGCTCAGCTCCCGTTGTCTTGCTTCACTGATTTCGTGTCCTGAGTGAGCTGATGTAATTGAATCGACGCGACTGAGTCCGAGTGAGTGCCGATCGCTTTCTGCAACGCGACCCTTTCCGGCATGTGAACTGATGCAGGCATCAGGTACGAAAAGAGCTCTCGATGGAATATCTGCGGATTCCGCCAACGAAGGAATCTCCAATATTTATTACGCTTATCTGCTCGCCAAATGGCAGTGGTCAACGGATAGATGAAGACCTATGATTAGGAGCCGTTACGTCGAAGCCGCGACCACCGAGCTCGTCTTCGCGCGATGAGCGAAAGAGCCAAAATGCTGTCTAAGCACTAGTTGCTCTGATGAACGACCGGGGCTTCCAGATCAGACTCTCCGAAGATTCCGACCACTCATCCCGGATCTTGAGGGGGAATCACTCGAGTGACCTTTCCGCTGAGAGCAGATTCGGGTTGCCATCATGTCTTGGCGCTTGTGGAACCGAGAATCCGATCTTCCGAGGGACAAACAGTCGCATCGTCATCGTAGGCCTCAGCAGCCAGGGGGAAAACGATTAAGGAATGAGTTCAGTAAGTTGTCCATGGTCCGCTGCCAGTCGCCGTTTTCGGATCGGTTGCCTGGTCGGACGGGCCTGGCTCGCTTGTTACCCGCTCAGAGATGGGGTGTGATGACCCTGTTCGGTTGGCTGGAGTCGGTTCGTAGCCCCGATCCGAGCCGACCGGCAGGCCGACCGCTCTGGTTGAGCGGCGTGGACAAGCCCTCACTGATGTGTCCGGCGTTCGAGGGGCTCGGGGGGCTCGGGGGGCAACGGGGGATACGTGGGACTGGGAGACGTTTCTGAACGACGTCTGATTACGTCGATGTGACACCAGCTGGCCGTACGACATCACTCTCGCGCAGCGCTTCCTGGCTCTTTCCTTCCTCCCGAGGACTCGCGAGCTCTGCCCGCATTGTTTTTCTCGCATTTTTTTCCTCGGTTATCTGGGATCCGGATAAATGTGGAAAGAATACGGCGGTGTTTTGTTCCGGGACATTTTTGGAGTTGCGCACAAAAGTTGCTGCTCTGTGCGAACGTGTCATATTCGCTCATCCAGACGGGTTGACGGACTTGCATACGGATAAATGCCACCGTTGGGATAGCAGTCGTTCCGATAGAGAGAGAAGAACATTCGAGCGAATCAAGACAACGCTGTCGACGACAAAAAATAGTAGTGGTCAAAATGTCTTCTTCTTCTCGTGCTTCGTCTCCATGTCCGTCTTCGGTCGGCAAGGGCGGCCCCCGAAAGACGACGACGACGAGTCGTAATTCTGTGGATGGCACTTTTTCTGACGCAAATCCAATCCGAAGAACAAAGAAATGGCTCCATCGCTGCTCACCACAGTTATTCTGCAGTGAGGTTCATTTTTGCTTTAGGGCCACTTCTTCTGAAA